CCTAGTAGTGATGCCAGGAGCCCCTAGTAGCGTCCTTGCTCCTAGTACAGGAGCCCCTAGTAGCGTCCTTGCTCCTAGTAGTGATGCTAGGAGCCCCTGGTAGCGTCCTTGCTCCTAGTAGTGATGCCAGGAGCCCCTAGTAGCGTCCTTGCTCCTGGTAGCGATGCCAGGAGCCCCTAGTAGCGTCCTTGCTCCTAGTAGCGATGCCAGGAGCCCCTAGTAGCGTCCTTGCTCCTAGTAGCGATGCCAGGAGCCCTAGTAGCGTCCTTGCTCCTAGTACAGGAGCCCCTAGTAACTAGTAGCGTCCTTGCTCCTAGTAGCGGTGCCAAGAGCCCCAGTAGCTGGATCTTCAACATGTTATTTCCAACATCTCTTCAAGTTGGATGACCACGGCACAACCTTTTCAAACGACGAAAACGCCCGCCGAGGGCAGCGGCCAAAGCAAAACAGCATGTGGAATCCCACAAAGGCTGTGGGCCTTTGACCGCCCGTACTAAACTTCCGGAAAGATCTTACGGTTTGTCTACGGGATGCTGACCGCACCATGGCTTGGGATGCTTTGGGTTTGCAATAGTGAGCGCTCCCAAGCAATAGAATGATATAGACATAGAATTCAACTGACCTGGGGGGCTAACAAGCCTTAGCTTCCCAATGACGAAAACCCGGCGTTTCTCCAGCCTCGAGTACACCTTTGCCAAGGCTGTTGGAGGTTCCTTTCATCCTGACAGAGCGTGCCAAGTTACTGGTTTGCAGTGCTGATAAGGTGGAGTTGCCGCACCTGTAGTGACTGTAGTGTTGACACAGAATAGCTACCCAAGGACGCAAGACCGATGTCACACGAAAACATTGCCTTTGGTGGTTTGATTTTTGATTTTTTGTGTCATTCTGCAAGGAACTGCCCCGAGCCGAGCCTGAGGTTGGCAGTTGCCATTTCGGTGCTTCTCAATGCAGCGGCCATGAGCGTGGAGGTTGAAGCGGAACTCCAATTTGGAAGGTGTGGTCAGAGTCGACGGCAAACTGCCAAGAGAACCCAGAGAGAGAAGAGGCATAGGTAGACTCAGTGGGTTCCCGGTAGACTTGAACTGACAGATGTACAATGACAAGAAGGGCCGGTGAAGGCCTATCAGCTTACTAGAGCAGCTAAAAATGACAAGAAGGTATTTGGTGTTGGTGTGCTGTGAGGGCATTGCCCCACAGGCCTACCATAAGCCTCCCCATAGACCTTAAATGAAGGCTTGTTACGTGTGCAAAATGTGCTGATCAGGACCCACACCAGTGGTTGATAGGAATGTCCTAGTATGACTGGTAGAGCACATTTGGCAGGTCTTCCGTCTTGGGACTAGCTATGTATGGAGTGCCCTGGCGATCAAGTCAATGCAAACTTGGGGTGTGCCTACAACCCTCTCCAGTCCTTCAAGAAAGGGATATGTGGATCCAAGGTCCAATGCTTTTTCTTGATCGTTTTCATTGTGGAACTGATTCTGAATATCCGCTGCCATGGCTTGAGCTTCTTCTACAGAAGAGGTGGCCCAGCAACTTGGTGTTCTTGCCTCCTCAACCCTGATTTATATGTACAAAAGATGTAACTAAGTAATTACATACTGTAAAAAGCAATATATATATATATCTACCCTTGTGTGTACACCCCGGAGTCACGGGTTCTATCAGATTTAGCAAGAGGTCATCATGCAAACGCATGCCAACGAAGCCATGAGTGATGGAGGAGGCCAGGTCTGGCCAACCTGGTGTGAAGTTTGGAAACTACGATCCATTCTAGGCTGTTGCCAGGGTTGGTGAGGTCGTGCTAGGTCTGATGCATCCGGGAGACTTGCACGTCGTTGGGTCGCTTGAGCATTTTTTTTTCTGTTGGATACCTTTGGAACCTATGGAATTGCCATGGTCACACGCCGCTGCACTAGTAATTTGGTTTACTTGATTCACTCAGACTAGTTTTCGCTCAGGCCTTCATTGGAGGCGATATATTCAGTACGTACTCACTTCATCTCATTTCTCTCTCTCTCTCTCTCTTGTGTGTGTGGACAAGATTACACTGAGGCCATGTCAGCCAATTGCATAGAGGCCTTGCACGAACTGGGTTACAAGATCCATTTCCAGGGCATTTTCGACTTTTTTGTCGTGCTCGCAGCGCTGGTGGACTTGTGCATCATGCGGCCCATCAATTTGGTGGGTGGCGCCGATGGCTCTACTGCTAGCGACGCCTTCAGCGCCTTTCGGGTATTGCAGCTCTTCCGGCTAGCCAGGAAGGGAACACAAAACCCGGTTTGGGAAATCCGTCATTATGCCCGAAAGATATGTTATATAACTTCAGATGTGTGATGCATATCTCGACTTTGCTAGTTCGCAGCTTTCAACCGCTCATTCCCAGGATCTTCCAGTTGCTCCGCTTATCGCATGAACTTTCTTCTTTGGCCTTCAACCTTGCCATGTCGTTACGGGCCGTTTTCTGGGTTTTCTTGCTCCTTTTCACTCTGATCTACATTGGGGCTCTATTTTGTGCCAGTGAGCTTGGCACCTCACAGAATGATGAAATGCGACGGATCTTCGGAAACATCTGGGTGAGCATTTTTTCGCACTTCAAGCTCATGACCTTGGAACAGTGGGTGGATATTTGCAATGCAGCCATGGAAGTAAATCCACTGTGGGCCGTCTACTTCTTGTGTTTCATCATCCTCACAAACTTGACCTTGGTGAACCTGGTCACAGGACTGATTATCACTGGAGTGGTGGAGCATGCCCGCGAGGACAACTGGACATGGCAGGAAAGGCTCGTAGAAGAGACACCCTTTGTCAAAGCCACTGAGGAGATGGTCAAGAAGATGGGCATCGAAGAAGATCATTTGACTTTTGAATCATTTGAGATGTTGCTCTCCGACCTGCAATTCCAGGCTATCCTTTCTCTCTACGGTATTTCCATGCAACTTGAGCCCTCCAAGCTTTTTGATATTCTTTCAACTGAGGCGTCCGGACATTTGGACATTCAACATTTTGCGCGCAGTCTACTGCAGTTGAGAGGCTCCAGAAGTTCTCTACATCCAATCATGGTTCGACATGACATCAATGTCAATAATGGTATCTTCCGGAAGCAGGTGAGAGATCTCATGGAGAGTGTTCCCCAGGCCTATATGGCACAGGTCAAAGACTGTGAGCAGAGCATAGCGGAACAGCTCTCCAACTTTGACACAGACTTGCGTCAGCAGCTACGCCACCGGAAGGGACCCAAAGAGACTGAGGGGGGGTGCATGCCAGGAGAAGATCCTCTCAGAGAAACTGCTGCCCATTTTGCATTCCGCAGCGGAGTCTGTGGAGGCTGGGCTCCTGTGCAGACGGACCAATCAACACCACATATTGAAATGGAAGACTGGACTGCCGTCAGCAAGATGAGCTAATGGCAGTACATCCAAACCTGCTACCCTGTCGATCCTGTAAGAGTGTATATATATATATATATTTGTTTCTTGTTGCAAAGCTTTTCTGTCATTGTGTCTCATGGCCAAGATTGTAACCCATAGCCAAAGACACACGAGCCGAGCACAGGTCTTGAGATCCAAGATCTCAAGAGCAGCAGCTGAACTTCGAGACTTGGAGATTGAGGACGGGGTGAGAGGGTCCCCCAAAATGCCACCGGGACTATATGAAAAACGGCCCGTAAGGCCCATCAGAGGCCCCGTGAGGCCCATCAGGCTTGTGGTGAGGCTGTGGAAATTTGGCACTAGGAGCATCGGGGACTATGAAATCAAACCTGATCCTGTTGACATGTGAGGAGCATCGGTTGACGGCTCAGCTTCATCGTCACGAAGGGCGTCAGAGCCGCGGCACGCAAACATGCAATAGGACCCCCCATCGAAGCTAGAGAGGCCACAATGCGCAGCGGAGCGCAGCGGAGTGCAGCGGAGCGCATTAAGTTTCACTCTTTCACCCGCTAGTGACTGGCGCAGGCTTGATTCGGCTGGCAAGGGCAAGCCACTCAGCCAAATTGTCTGCCAGACTGGTTGTGCAAGGATGCAGCCAGATTGACGTTGATAACAAAGCTCGAGGTTGCCAGAGGTTTGTGACCTTTGCGTGGCTGTAGCGAGTTGCAAAAAGAGAGCTGAGTCTTCTGGAAGACGTGCTTTCAAATTCCTGTTTGCATGAGCTCTAGAACTGCGCACTCACCTGGTGCGGGAGGTATTGAATGAGGTCCTCGAGAAAGCGCAGGGTGAGTGCCCCCCGTCCTGTTCCAATGGCTGTTTGGATGAGTTTCGGGCCCAATGCCATCTTTGCTTGGGCGGAAGGTTGGAGAAACTCCGGAAAGAGGAGCAAGATAGGTTGCATAGCTTCCAGCGGCTTCAACAGCCAAAGCTTCAGAACTGAAGTTGGAGCTCCGCTCAAGCATGAACAGAGTGACTTAGGTCTCTGGAAGCCAAACTCAAGTATTCGAAGCGTGATTTGGTACGCCTCCTTGGCAGTCATACCTTCTTCTTCGCCACTGGTCCAATTTGATCTTCAGGCAGCTGCACAGGAAATGAAGACTGAAGCAGCTCAGAAAAAGGCTACAGCTGTCCGGCAGCCCAAGATGAACATGAAATCTTCGTGACACATGCAATGAAGAGCGTAGTTCTGATTCAGGAAGGAAGCCTGGCCGAAGCAAAGAAGAGCATGTTCGAAGCGGCCGGAGTCTTTGGTGTTTTTTCCTTTGAGTCGTTTGAAGGAGCCAAACGACTCCAAGATGTGCAGGACTTACCCGACTAAGGCTACAGCATTGCAGGACTTGCAAGCTACATGCTTGAAGAAAGCCGCTCGAGCCTAAGAGCTGCAATAATGTGTATTGGGATCCGTGTTCCAGACCATTTGTGCGGCACTGGGTCCTGCGATTCACACCTGTGGCGTTCAAATCGCATTGGATGCCTTTTTGACCGTGCATTTGCCACCATGCTTGCAGCTGCGACTGGATTCTCTCTTGAATGTTGTCGAAGCCGGCTTGAGTGAATGATTACTGTACATGCTTTCACCACAGCTCGGTGAACTCAGCTGTCTGTTTTTTGCGCAACTCAGTCGAAGTTCGAGGAGGACATGCAAGCCAAGGCTGAAGAAGTGAAGGCCCTCATCCCGTTAGATCATCCAACAGAGCCAGAGACTGATCCAACAAGGGGCACCTAAAAGCCTAAAATCACTGGTTTGAATTTCTATCGTCTCTGGAGTCGAAGGTGGGTTGGTCTTGGTGGGTCTTTGGTGGAGAGCTCTTCTTGTCTGGAGGCCCTGGCTGATGCAAAGGATGCAATCTCAGCAAAAATGGGAGGAGGTGAAGAACTCAGAGTGGCCAGTGGTTGGCCATGATGGTCATAATGCACAAATCAAGAGGGTCAATTTCTCCAATGAGGTGACGTGTCCTTCCTCCAGCTCGGTCGAGGCCAGTGTTTGTGGATTTGTCCTCTTGGCCCCCGTGACCTGCTTTGATCCTTCCCTTTGGGAAGCCAGCTGCGGATGATGGGTCAGTTTTCAGGTTCCACGCATGGAAATGCGATTAGCCTTCAAACGAAGAACTTCCAGGAACAAACGCAAGCCAGAGACCGACTCACATCAACCCATGAAGCTGCTTGTCCTGGGCTTGCCTGACCAGCACTTGCTCCCTATTGTGATGGACATCGGGGTGGGCTTCTGTGGCTGTTGAGCGGGCTTTCCTACCTATGCCTTTGTGGGGTTTTCTCCCATCTTCTCCACGCGCCATGGAGAGAAGGCAGCAATTTTGCGCGGCAACTATATAGCTAATTAGCACACGACGAGGACGCACCGGAGCTGTTTGGGCTTAAGCAGGGGCATGTCGCTCCAATCATGTCGTTTTGCCCCTTTGCTCATTTATACAGAAGTTGAGTGCCATAGAGGTAGGCCGTAGTAGTTGTCAAAACTGAGGCTCGGGGCGAGAGACAGCAGCCGCTAGAAGGCGGCGCTTGGGAGTGTAGTATGTCGAAACCAGAAGCCTTGCACCTCAATGTACTTCCCATTCTGAAGCGTTCCATGGGAGATGCACCGACGCTTCGCTCGGCATTGATTTTCCACTGATCAAGTTGCAAGCTTCAGTGATGGGATCGTGACAAACTAAGACAGATCATTTGCTTTTGGCCGTAGCTGTGCGACGCTGTGTTTTGCAGGGACAGGGTAGCCAAGCTTCTGAGACGAGCTGAAGATGCTGGACGGCGTGCTGCCTTCCAGTCTCAGCCACGAGTCCCAGGCGGGTGCTATGTGCTGCTCCCTTCTAAGTATCTCCGGATCCGTTACTTGTGACTGCGGTTGCGAATCGATACTAACAACATATACGGGTATTATATATATATATAGTCCATTTTCAAAGAAGCCTATTATGATATGTAGAATGATGTAGAATGTCTAGGCTGGGATCTCGCTAGTGTTGCGGCCTTGCTACAGGTGTGCAACAAGACTTCCTCCATGACCCTCTGGGTAGTTCAGAACAGCTGCGGAAGTACCTCCTTGCTGCGGATGAATTGCGTGGAGTGGGCTCGACCCTTTCTCGTCGGCATGCTGAGCAGCGGACCTATGAGGAGTACATGTTGTCGCTGGATCGACAGCTGGCCGAAGTGGAGAAGACGCGAAAAGTGATCGCTGCAGCCTGTCCCCCACGCAATCCACACAACCTACGGCCCCGTAGCTTTCCGGAACCCGGAGGTGTCCACTGCGAGGCGGTTAGGATGACAAACACTTCCTCTTCACCGACATTGGCAGAGACTGGCGCGAGAAGTCTGCAACACATATCAGCCCCAAGGCCGAAGGCCAAGGTACCGGCTGTAGTGGAATTGCGCGCGTTTCCCTGCCCGAATGGATCTGTCGGAGAAGAATGTCCCTGTTGCCTGTGCCAGCTTCAGCTGAACGATTTGGTTATGTGCTTTCCGTGCCCAGCAGAGCATGCTTTCCATTCTCATTGCCTGACAAAATGGCTACGGTCGGCGGGAAATCGAAGCACTTGCCCTGTGTGCCGAGCTTGGCCGAAGCCCAAAGCAAAGAAGCAGGTTTCACCGGTCTCAGTCTCACCTGATGTTCGCAGATGACTTGAGAGACAAAATCACTCACGCGACTGGCAAGATTTTCGGAAAGTTATGCTTCCAACCAGCATTTCCTTCAAGTCATGCACTCTAGCAGACTGGTTCTGGTCATGTATGCTGCAGGCACTGCTCGGCTACCTGCAGACTCTGTGGCTTTGGCAAGAGTCAAGCATTGTGAATAAAATGCCGTCAAGTAAGTGGGGGGGGTGGCTACGGCTACGCTAGGATAATTGTGGCGGTCGCTCCGCCATGTGGTCCTCCTTGGCAGACTCGCTTGTGAAGTCGGTGCCAAAATCATGAAACATGTTCAAGTACTTCCCGTCACTCAGGAAAGAGCGGCTGCTGCAGGTGCAGCTGCCAGGTCCGTGAGGCACAGCGTCACAGGATACAAACCTATATATACAAACCATGAAATCTCTGAATCCTTGTGTGCACGGGAGACGGCTGAGATGACCCTCTACTTTTTGAAAGGCGCTTGGCCGTGAAGTTGGACTCGCCATCGAGACTTGGCCAAACGGCGCCAGATGGCTTGAGAATTGAAGTGGGATTTCCAGAGGAGATGTGCCCTCCACTCCTAACTTGTGTCTTTCGCTCTATGCCCTACCAGAGGCTTCCAACTTTTTGAAGGGGAAAGACCAACAGGACAAATGATCATATCCCCCAAATATATATGTCATTTGCTTTTATAACTTGTCTTATGATGGGTCACCTAGCCCCACTATTCTCTGAATTGTTTGTATCTTGTGCTTACACAGTAGGTGTTTATTAGCATTGTATAATCTTATATATATATATATAGACTTATATAGATTTTTCTTTTTCCCCAGAGGCCTCGCACTTCAATGAAACACAGCTGGTTTTTTGATGTACGGTGTTGGCATGTGTTGGCAATGAAGCACAGCTGGGCTTTTGATGTACGGTGTTGGTGCAAGGCTTGTAGAGTTGGCTGGCCGTTTGGACTACGCCGCTAGCAGGCGCATTCACAGCGGCCGGAGCCATGGATGTTCGGTGCCAAAGTATTGGGAGGCTTCTCGACGGAACTGAGGTGCAGATCCTTTCAGAAAGGTGAGAGGACGGTGGCGAACACATCTGGGAACAAGTTGGATGGGAAGGGTGATGCCATGTGTTGCCCGTATGATATGGAGGAAACTTTGATGTCCTAAATTTGCTCAAGTTCATCATTTTTTCTGGGGTCAACCGGAGTCAGGACTCATTGAGGGTATGATTGCCCGAAGCTCAGATTTGGTGCCGGCTCCTTCCACAACCTTCGCATGTCTTCTTGATTCTTGTGTTGACTCACCGTGTTGTGCCATGTTTTTTCCTTTCGGCTTTGGATGCAGTGTCTGGGGCAGTGTGGAAAGGAAAGGTTTTTTCTGGCCTGAGGGGCCTGAGGTGAGTTTGAAGAAATCAGACTGAGGAGCATCTCCAATCCGAAGCCCGAGCGGAAGCAGATCACCAGGTGCGCACTTCGAAAAGCACCGGTTCAGCAAGGGGAAAATGAAAGTGCAAAGGCACGGGGCACGCTATACATGGAATAAGGATCTATACCAAAAAAGAGCAACAACATACTGAACGCTAGCACTATTCCCCAACTTGCAAAACAAATAAAAACATGCGGTTTAGATAGGGTGGATGTTTTCTGCAAGTCATCGTGAAAGGTTTTTCCTTTGCACGTGTGCAGAAAGTTGCATCATCTGTCCCCTGGGGCTCTCAGCAAGCAAAGCTCCGACGAAGCTCCGACGAAGCTCCAAGGCTTTCTGTGACAAGGAGATGTCTGTGACCGGAGTGAAGAGCAGTCTCCTCGGACCTCGGAGCGACAATTCACCAACATCATGGAGCTGTGGAGCGCCACAGGTGCCGACAAGCAAGAGGATGTGGACAAGCTTGGGTCGCAAAGCTCAGTGAAATGCATCTTCAGACAGCGGCCCGTAGGATGATATGGATTGAAAGACATGGGATGCATTCCTTTGCCAGTGATATGGGGTCGATCTGGAACTTCGTGTTGGTGTTCATTGCACTCGTCAAGGACGAAGATCGAGCAGGCCAAAGCTCAGGCGGCTCACCTCACAGAGCTAACAAACACACTACGCCAGGCCAGGGTTTCCTTGAAAAAGCCGGGGAAATCGTCTTAGTCAATATGTTTCGCATGGTCAAGCAGCAAGCTGATCAAGTTGTTGAACTGGTTGTGCTGATCTGATATACAGTATGCCGCCATCAATTTCAAGTTCCCGGTGGTGACCGGTAGTTGCCCTACCAGTCCAGCGAGTCCGAGTCTGATGCAAGGAGCTGGCTGATTTGGCAAAGACGCAGCTGGAAATGGAGGAGGCAAAGTGAAGTGACCCAAGAGTCTGTGAAACCACAAAAGCAATAGACAATCTCAACCAGCTCTTCCTGGAGGTCCGACAGAAAGAGAAAGCCTTGGCTGACAAAGCCCAGCTCCATGCCAAGGCCAGTCACTCCTGCATTTGTATTTGAGGCTTGTTATGCCAAACCAGATTGCAGTCAAGATTTGTGGCGCTCCGTACCATTCTTGAGTCTAAAACCTTTGAGGGCTGCGCATGTCAAGTTGATAGGGTCCTTTGTGAGGAAGGGATGGAGGGACTGCGTACGGCCTTGCAAGTGCTGTACCGCTCTTAGCGGACTAGAAAAGGGGTCTGATGAAAGAGAAAAGGAAGTAACTTCTTCTTCCTAGTAGTAGCTACTTGCTCCTAGTAGTGCGGCCAGGAGCCCCTAGTAGCGTCCTTGCTCCTAGTAGCGATGCCAGGAGCCCCTAGTAGCAGCGTCGCATGTGTCGCATGTGTCAGCGACCTCTCACGAGCATCATCGGTTCGTTCCATGGTTTGCCCACTGAGACGCACCTACTATGCCAGAATCGGCGATCCAGTAGGCCAACATCCTGGTTTGCAGATGTGTTCAGTCCATATCGCAGAATACCCAATGATTCTAGTTTGGAGGCAGAGGCAAACAAGTTGTCGGTGGCCTAGTGAAGCAACCATCGAAATAACTCTGGCTGTTCGTAAGGCAGAGTTGCTTCGTTGTTTCAGGTTTCTATGTTGGAGTATGCCAAGTCAGATATCCACAGGCGAGCAGTGCCCTCAGCCTTGCGCTGCAATATTCTTTTTGAAGACTTTGAGTCAGTAGGTGGTTTGTGCTGTGTAGACTCTGGCTGCCTCTGGCTGATATCATTTCAGGTCACTGTGCTAGTCCGAAGCCTACTCCCTTTGCTCAAGATTGGTGGAACCACTCATGCCACCAATGCCACCAAAAGGAATTCTCAACTCTTCTGAATTGTGTGGACAAGGAATCTGAAGAGAAGTTGGCGGTCTCCGAGTATGAGCCTGGAGCTTTGTGCAGCCTTCTCTTTGTTCGCCGCATCTCGCTCTTGGCAGTTTTTGTTCCCACTCATTTTGCTCGGTCGGAGAGACAGCTGCGTCTCTTTTCTTGTGTCAGCTCTTTAAACTGTCCAAAGTGGTGGATGAAGGAAGATCTCCAAAGACAATGCCGTAATGTCAGCGACGAAGCAGCATGAAGCGCGCATCTCAATGAGATCTACGGTGTTTGTCGCCCTCGGCCTCTCGGCCTTGGTCGTACCATGGGCCTTGGTGTCAGGTTGACAGCAACACAGCTGATTTAACAGAGTTGAAGAAGGCACGGCCCAGAAGATCACCTCTAGATACCTTTAGCAGATCTGGGGACCATAGCTGTTGAATGTAGTTACAGAAATGAAATAAGCAAATTAGCACTATATATATATACACATACTCATAAACAAGAGAACCAAAGATGGCCCCCAACCTAGTAGCAATGGCCTCCGACCTTCTAGCTTCTTTTGACATTAGTTGTCTACCAAGTACTGTATATAGCCTTGTGGGCATGTCATTATTTGGGACAGCGTTTCGCAGGCCCCTGCTTGAGACTCTTGATTTCTGACACTACTTTACTCAGTTTCCAATCTGACTGGCAGATGTTGAACGAGCTCAACTCTGACCACACAGCAGCGACTGAAGAGCTGGAGGCGCTCCAGGACTGGGGCGCTTGCGTGATCAGGGTGGCTTTGGCTCGGGCATTCTCAGCAAGAAACGCCTCGCGTGCTGCTGTCACTTTTGGGGTCCAGGACTATATGGCGAAGCTTAAGGACAAGAATTGAATTGATTCTTTTGGCAGCTCAGATGCCAATGCCCAACACCTTGCTTTGTGCAGGACCAATGCATTGCCAAACCTGAGCTGTATGAGGACAGCTTAGAGTGTATATATATACAATAGATAGAATGTATAACATCATATATACATATATATTTATGTGTATACTATATATATATATAACTGTTATATAAATGTATTCTCCGAGTGCCTTTCTGAGCTCCAAATTTGCAACAAGAATTGCAGGAGAGAAAGGAGAAAAGAGAGAAAGAGATCCAAGGCCTCAAAGAGGTTCGGAATGTTTTGGGATCGGGTGTCATTATGGAGAATGGAGGCTGTTGGCTGTTCACACCTGAAGGCTTTGGGTGCATTGGATGGCAGCCAACTGCAGATGGCAGAAGCTCCAATTCACAATGCTCCTCGGAATCATCTCACATCATGGCACAGTGTGTCACTTGGAGGTTGGCTGACGCTTTTGACCGCTGACATTTGCGGCCTAGGTGTTCCTGCAGCTGAGGGGTAGCACGCGCCCTCATTAGGTTCCGCGAGACTTTGCCTCGAAAAAAAGGGGAACATGGCTATGCAGATGCGGGTCTGTGGACGACCTCTGCATATGCCAAAAAGCATTGACGCTCAAGCTGTGGTGGAATCGCGTTCCCGTTGCCTTTTTTGGACCTTATTTGGGTTTCAACGTGCAAGAGGGGTATCATAGGTATCGTTGAGATGTTGAGAAGGATCAGCACTTCTCTTGCAACTATCTACTTCTTAGCTGTTGTATTTCTGTGGTAGTATACACTGCTATCAGGTGTACCCCCTGAAGGCGCAAGCATAAAGCTTGCCCACTTGTCACTTGCACCTCCCTTGCTCGTTTGAAAGTTCGAAGCCCTTCGACAAGCAACAAGTGACCAGTCAGTGCCCCCCCGCTCGGGCTTTTGCAAGATGCCATGGCTTACAGGCATTTGCATTGACATCAGATTTGGCATGTTGCAGCATTTGACGCACACGCAACTTGTCTTTGACAGGTCGTTGTCTTCCGCCCACCCACTGGCCTTTAGCTACGCAGGTGCTAGCCATTTGCTTCCAACGCTTGTTCCACACATTGCCTCGGTTGACTACTTGGAGGTGCATCCTCGAGTGAAGGGCCCACAATCTTGCTTTACCCTCAGGTCCCCATCACGATCAAGTGCTTTGTGGGTCCCACACGATGTCGGGGCTCGGCAACTGGGTGGGACCACGACCACGACCAAGGCTGGAACAATCACCAGCAAGGTCCAAGGCACCTTCAGACGGTCCCTCGGAATTCTCGCCACAGCCTCAACGTGCAGCTACTAAGTTCACTTCAAGTCTTGAAACAGATGTGTCCTAGTGTCAATATGGACGTTTTTCCCCAACAGCGAAGCTTTAGGTTCACCCATAGTATATAGACTTCCGAGCAGATCGGAGCAAGCTCTGGAGCAGGTTCCGGAGCAGGTTTCGGAGCAGGTTCCAGAGCAGGTTCCGGAGCACGTTCCGGAGCAGGTTCCGGCCAGCTTGCCACAAGTTCCGGAGGACCTTGCAGATATATGACGGCATATAGTGCTCACACGTCACGATGCCAGCCTTTTGTCATGCTTGCTGGCGTGTTGACCTGCCATCAGACTACAGCGCGGCTTTTGCTACCCCATGCCCATGCGTTTTTCTCTGACACGCTGAGGTGTTGCCACTCCGACAAGGTGACGACATGGTGCCATGTTGGTGTACTGTGCTTGTTGAATGCTGTCACACAGACGTGTGCAGACACGTTGTTGCGTATGACTGTTATTGTTGCGCTGCTATGCCGGCGTGGTGTTGCACTGGCACGTTGTCAGGCTGTCGTGCTGACGTGTTGTCATACTGGCACAGAACACGCTAACATGCTAACACGTTGTTGCGCTGAGATGCGAAAATTAGGTCATGACTGAAAGCAGGTGCCACCCGCCACTTGTTAATGAACTTGCCCATGTCGCAAACTTATCATTAGATACCAACTGTTGCCATTGCTAAGTCAGCAAATTCATGCCCAGCTGTTGGGGACTTCTCTTGGGCCTATTTTTAATCATTTGACTTCGAACTGGGGGCACCTTGCTTGATGACACCTTGTGCTTTCACAATCCAATCCAACTCTTTATCCGTGTTTGACGCTACGGCGTTGTATATGACCGACAGACCGGCAGAGAGGCAGGCAGGCAGGCAGACCGACCGACAGACCGACAGACCGACCGACCGACCGACGGACGGACGGACGGACGGAGGAACGGACCGACCGACCGACAGACAGACAGACAGGTCTTGGCATGATGATGTGGGAGCCTCACACAAATTGTTGGAGATCTCGTTGCTCACATGGCCCCAATGACTCAGTGTCCTATTTGCATCGGCTGTAGGCCTCATCATCCTTGGCACCTTCTGGGACTGCCAGAGATGGCACAATTACCGTCCAGCTGTCGTGTTTAAGTGTTTAACTTTCCCTTCGTGGTTTGGGCAATTGCAGCAGAGCAGGTCAACCCGTTGGTGATGCGTTGCAAGCTTAGGGACTGTAACGGATGTCGCCTGTCACCAGACTGGTTGAGGTCACTGGAGTGTTGTCAGGTATGGGAGAGCACCTGAAAGGGAAGCTCCAGGGTATGATCCGACAACGCTTTGAGAACTATTTGCACATCATCAAGCTGCGACCTCAATTTTTAAGCAGAGAAATGCAACTAGCTAAAGAGAGAAACAGGGAGAGAGAGAGAGAGAGATGTGAGGACACTGCAGAATGACATCGGCAAGTTGGCAGCCTTGACATGCGAACTGCCAGAGCCACGGTTTGTGATCGGTCCTTTGCTATTCTTTTTCTCATGGGTTCGGCTCATACGAAGAGGGATTGTTAGGATTGTTTGTTCCATGATTTTCAATTTCAATAACTCCGACTGCTGCTAGAGCTGCTAGGGGTCTTCGCAATAGGTCGAGTTGAAGCGTTGCAAAAAAGAGCTCTCATTATCCAAGTCCGCGATGTTTTCTACTCTCATTTGACCCAAGCTCAGAATGCTGCAGATTTGAGGCGCATGGCAGATCGCCACAGGTCTTCAGCTGCAGCTGGCCTTGGAGCTCAGAATGCTGTGAGAGTGGCTGTGCCGTAGAGAGGAGCCTCCTCATCATTCGCCCATGAGGTGCAGCATCCAGCATCAGGGTCTCTATCTCCTGCAACGAGGCCCGGAGAGAAAGATCTCAAAGGGTCACCACCTCGCAAGTACCAGGATGGTACCTTTGTGGTATACGCTGTCCCCGATGCTGCTGGAGTGTTGGGCTCTCAGTGCCCGGGCCCCAGACCCAAACATGGCCAACAAGCCTTTTTTCACATGTGCGTGTGACTCATGTGCCAATCTTTCTGGTATTTCTGCAGGAGGCTAGTGGGTCCCCGAGAAAACTCAATGCAATCATGACATGACTAAGAGTAAATTGCAGTACTGTAATGATTTTGCATAGCGCACTTCAAAGGCAACGGTTTTGAACAAGTTTTGGTTTTGATGGTTTGGAGATTGGACACCACTTCGCCACCCTATCATATGGAACAAGCAAAGCTTTTTGGTTCCATTGCATCCACGCGGCATGGCGCGATCGACTGAAAGGTCCCTTTTGAGGCGATCGACGCCTCGAGATCTCCGTCTGGAGAGCTCATCGCCACTACCCGGGTCATGGGGGGGACCAGCATCCGAGCATGACTTCTGGAAACAGACGGTTGCGAGCTGTGAACTGCACCAGCTCGTGGTCAAGCGCCATCGCCTGAGGGCATCAAGAGAATGTGCAGCCAAAGCCAAGAAGATTTGGCAGGCCTTCTCGGATTTACAGGATTTGCTCACAGCTATGGAGCAGCAGTACACGGAACTCTGTGACGAAGATGACCCTGATGGCTCTGGGCCCGAATGGAGGACTCTGGTCCAAAGAAAAGGTCGATAGTGTGACATGCCTTTTCAATTCTTTCATGCTTTCCAGATGTTTGTGCCTAAATGCCTCGTCCGAATGCAATTTCAAGCTTAGTGAGCTTTTGTCCTGGGCTTTGCAATCCACCAAGTCTTGTTCTGGCGTAGGCAAGGCTTGAAGCTGCAAATGCACTGTACTTTAGATCATATCATGTCCATCGAACAAACTTGCTATACTTGCTATCAGGTCCACATGATTTGACTGAGCTAGAGACTGGTCTTGGTATGTCTTGGTCACAGATGAGTAGGTTCCGACATTTACGGAAAGCAATGCAAAGCTCCTCATACCTTCATTTCCCAAAGGACGAAGGTCGAACCTATATTGCGCGGAATGAATTCGGAATCATTTTGTTCATTTCTGAAATCCAAACAGCTGGCTTGTTCTCATACCCGTTTTTCCACCTTGAATATGGACCTAAAGCCTCTGACAAAGCTGCTTCTGAGCACGGTGGATTGAAAGTAGTTTCCTATCAAGATGCAAAAAACTCTTCCGCGAACTTGCTGACTTAAGCGATTCCGCGGGTGGTAGTGAGCACGGGGCCGAATGACGACATTTGCATGACTGAAATTGGCGGGGATCGGGTTTGAGATTAGAGTCTGCGGATAAGGGAAGGTGTGGGACTGTTCTGCGCCAGGACCGATGGAAATGATGGGCACCGGCTGTTGGTGGATTCTCTCCAGCAGAGGCTCTTGGATCAACAGGCTGTGACGAGGCAGCTGCGAGAAGACATCTCTCAGGCCACATGGCATGAGCAAAAGGCACAAGAGGCCGAGCTGAAGTTGCTTGCTGAAGCTCAAGCTTTTGAAATTGAGATGCGCGAGTTACGCTTGCGCATTGTCACTGAAGAGCAGAAACTGACCTTCGCTTGATGGGAAAAGAAAGGAAGTGAGATTGTGCGCAACGGAGGCTCAACAAGTAATTGCTGTGATTTTTGGCATTTCAAGGCTCCAGCCCAGCTTCCAGTGAGGTTGGGTTTGCATTTTTCCGAGTGTGGTGGGGCAATTCTATAGTTTTCATTTGTTGTCTGACTTCCGCAGAAGATTTTGTGATTACCACTTCAATTAATGAGTTCGCCAGCCTTCTGCAGCAGCTGCAGGACAAGGCATCTCATTTGGAGCCCTCTGAACGCTCTTCCGAGGTGCCGAATGATATACCGAGGTCCCCGAACAGATATAGAACGGATTTCCAGTGCTGTACATCTTCGCAAAGGTCTATATATGTACATACATAGTCCACATGCACCAGATGTCCTTTGCAGGCCTTGCCAAGCCGTGAGGATTCGAGGATCGCAGAGCCCAGCGATGTCATGAGCCAGTGGGTGCACAAGGCCATCAAATCTCATTTAGATTATGTGGATAGTCCGACTTTGAGCAACCTCACAGGTTTGCGAATTTGGCATGAGTGGACGCCGGCCCTCAGCAAATCATGTGCAATTTTGGAGGTGATGCCCAAAACTCCAGATAGTCCTTTTGGACCTCTCAAAATCTTGCAAACTCAGTTTTGAGTAGTCGGGTACTTTGATATCTTTTCCTCAGCACCGAGGTTGTCACAGCCTCACTGCCCTCTTTCACTTTGGGTACACGACGTGGAAGCAGTTTCTTGCCTGCCAATGGCGGAGAGTTCCGTTTGCAACCCGTGCGGCACGAGGCTGATGCATGGCACGCAGAGTGCATGGGGCCGATGCCTAAGTAACACCAGCGCGAAGCATCCATGACACGTATGGGGAGTGACTGGTGGCTCGAGTAGATTCGAATAGCGTGCGCTGGCGAGTGGTGAAGTCCACTGCCTTAGGGATGGAGTCTGTGGAGGATGTATCTCCAGGCCACATTGCAGAGGACATTTGGGGTTCATTCGCGATCGAACTTGCTCAGATTCATCCTGTTTCCACTTGTGTTCACACAACGTGCGCTCACAGGAGGAGGAAAGGCAACTCCAGGAGGCCCGCAACTTTCTCCAAGTCCCATCAAACACAGTTCTCATATAGGTGGATTGAAGCCGAGTCAAAAGTTTGTTTTGTCAATTGTTTTTTGTTTTGCGTGCCCTTCCTGCTAAGGCACCTCGAGATGAACTGCCGGCTGCTCAAAGTTTCAAGTCAATTGAGACCAAGAGTTGTGCCTTTGACTTTTTGGCAAGTCGCTCACGTACACCATTCCCATTCGTCCAGCCCCTGCAGTGCATGCAATCTCATAATCATCTTGGCCAACCCAGCGATATTTGTATGCAGCTCCGGCCCAATAGAGTGGGCACAGCGACTAAACGCGCTGCCCCTGCGAAAATGGAAGGCCTGAATGTTTTACGAAGTTGCTGCCTCTGACTATCGCAAAGTTCAGTGCTTGAGACTTTCTGGACGGGTCCGCTTTTTCAAGCATTTTTTGTTGACCTTCCATGGAGGTTCAAAAACGGCCGGGAAAACGGCGGCCCCGCACTCAGTGATTGGACACGGGGAAGGGAACAGCTGTCCCTTGGCACCCTTCAGGATGCCAAGACTCTTCTTACAAAGCTTCACGAGCTTCGGAGCAGCAAGACCCAAGCCATCACTGAGAGTATCAAGAAGAAGGCGGTTTCGGAGGGCCGTCCGGAGCAGCATTAGCGTGCATTCGCATGCATGAGCATACGGCATGTTGCCGTCCCATGGCGTGGAACTTGCTTACCCTTGAGACAGTGAGGTGCACTTGCGCAGAACATTTGTATATATTTGTATCTAATTTGTGCGTTTGAACTTCAACAGGGATTTTCGGTCGAGGCACGGGATCAGACATGTATGCTGTATGCCTCTTTACGCCTTGCCTCCGTTCCAGGTTGAGAGCCATTTGGCAGCTCCGACAAGCCCATGCTTGTCGACAGCCACTCACGATTCTGGTCTGAACTCTCGTGACTCCACCCGGAGCAGCTCAGTTGCAACGATTCGGCAGCATTTGCGAGTTCTTTCAATAGGCCCTAAAGGCCACGAAGGCACTGCGTGAGGTCTTGGCTTTCCAACCGTCCCTGTCCTTGAGAAACCTTGCACAGAGATAGTGTCATAAAGTATTTGGAATTGCCTTGCGCGCTCCCCCGCTTCAGCTGGGTCTGCGGATTATTTGGAGTACATTTGAGACCGACTTTGTTCGCTCTTGCCTTTTCGTGCTTGATTCGGACACAAAGGCCTAACTCCACGCGAAGGAACTCCAGAAACATCACCTTCTGACGCTTGGATGGTCAATTGGCTTCGCCCGAAAACAACTTATATATAACCGCAATTGGCTTTCACGGAGCATGCAAACAAAGGCAAGTTGCAGGCTCCAAATAGTATGAAACTTAAGTTTCCCTAAACATCCAGAAACCAAATGAATAGCGTGAGCTATCCTGCGTCCATATGTAGTAGCTTACTTGTAGGTACTAGCTACCTGCTACCTAGCTCCTGCTAGCTACCTCTATTACTAGCTCTACCAGCCTAGCCCCCTCCCCTGGGCTACAAAAAATGGCTCTTCCTTTTGAGCGAAAGAGACTAGCGACCGTAGCGTCCGGTCCTAGGAGTCCAATGTGGACGACCATGTCCAGACCTTTCGCACTGACAAGGCGTTTCTTCGCACAGACCTTCTGCCAAAAAAAGCGTCGTTTACGTCGTATCTTTTTTTGACGCGTTCTTTTCCCACAGGAGATCAGTGGTGCCACATCACAAAACAAGGCAGGCAATCAAACGGAGTGTCTTCAGTTGGGCAACCTAGGCCTTAGGTCCCGCAATTATGTTTGTAGTTTCCTTCTTGAATATTTATCTTAGCTCTCAATGAAGGAGCGAGACCTGCAACCTTGGGAAGAACCTGGTGGTTGTAACGGTACTTTGGAGGAGAACTCAATTGGAGAGTGTTGGGAGTTCCTGGGTTAAATGGCGTCACGTTATCACAGTCTTTGAAGATTGAAGTTTCCTTTGAGGAGCTTTCCTCCGCGACAGGCAGGGCGTGAAGGTTTGGCCCACGACAGGCCACTGTAAGTGAAATTGGACCAGGTGAGTGGGACCAGTTCAAAGCCAACGCGGAGCTCTTCGGATATGTTTCGACCTTCAAGGAGTGTTTGTTGCTTTTTGTTTGTGGAGAGTTCTACAAAGTTCCCCCTTTTCTTCCCTTTTCTTTCCTTTTCACTGTGAGGACGACTTATCGCAGTACTCTACAACCATCGATGTGACGCGCATTTCAACGCAAACCCGAAAGAAAGCAGAACGTGTGGCAAGGGAGATTGAACTCCGGCAATGTGTCAGAGGCCCTTTAGCACAGTGAGGAACAGAGAGAGAAGCAACAGATTCTTCTACATACTGTACATATATAGTTTTTTTTTTTTCCCCTTTTCTTTGACAGACATAGGTTAGCGTGCATACCAGTTTCGGGGTCCGTGGTTGGTTTAAATCTTCGGACTGTCATTCCGGTGACGGGAGGGACAGAGAGAGAGAGAGAGAGAAGAGAGAAGAGAGAAGAGAGAAGAGAGAAGAGAGAAGAGA